ATAAAATATAAATGATTTGAAAAACAAAGAAAGATATATAAAGATATACAGCAAGAGTTAATATAATTAACATAGTTATTGCTTAATGTTTATGAGTGATTTTTCTTTTTTCTCCTATGTTACTATTTTCAATTCTTCTGATACGAACATATATTACTTAAGTGATCAAAAAAATCTTTAAAAAGTACCTATTATGAGATTCCATACATATATATATAGTTCATAAAGAAGCAACACTAATTGCTAGAAGTCAGGATAGGGATTATCTTCGGGGATATAGGTAATGATTAGAATGGGGCATAAGTGAGGCTTCTGGGATGCAGGTAATATTCTATTTCTTGACGTGAGTACTAGTTACATAGGATGTTAAGTTTGTGAAAAGTCATCAAGCTGTGCAATTTTTTCTATGTATAATTCAATAAAAAGTTTACCAAAAACTCTGAGTGTTTTTGCTTCCCTAATAAAAATATTTTGCCAACTGCTTTGCTTTTTCTCATATACAGCCTTTAATATATTTTTTCCCTCTGTGGATCAGTTGTCTACAATCAGAAAAAAAAATCTCATCCTTAATATAGAATTATAAGTTTATTCTGAGCCCAGGTTATATTATCAACATTTTAAAATTAACTATTTACATAAGTTTGGTTTCTCATCATTTTCTTTTTCCCTTACAACTAAAATGTATTTTTTTTTAATTTACCTAAATGAAAATTCTGGTTATTTTAGTTCAGTTAAATAAAATCTTATGGCATAGAAATCTTATGAATGTAACTTCGATTTAAATGTTAAAAGTTTTATTACAGATATTATTAGTTATATCACTTATATTTACCTGATAATGAGGTTTATACCATTGCTTTAAGTCCCAATCCCAAAGAATCATCTGAAAAAAAAAAAAGTTCACTTAGTTACAAACCAGAAATAAACAAATACATGTAAAGAAAAAATGAAGCATCTTCAATTACAAATACCTTAAATAGCTTAAAGTTTGGGAGAGGAATTGGGAAGGTGAGAATAAAAATCCTCTCTAGACAGATTATTTCATTAATTATACAATCTGTGATTGAGAAATCAAAAGAATATTCAGAATAAAGTCACTAAAATAAGCTATATTAACCTTCAAAATATCTATTACCACAAAAAAGAAAATATAAATCCAAAGTCATATCCAGTCACTAAAAACACAAGAGAAATTACAAATCATCAGACACTCTCCCCCTCCCACTCTCTCCAAATGATCATCTCTGATCTTAAACCAATGTCAATAGGTGGTGCTATTTCCTTACCAATAAGGCAATTCTGTCAAAATAACTTTAAAAAGTTTGTCCTTGTAGTTAGATTAAGTATAAGGGAATGGGTTTACAAAAAGCAACACACTCTCCTTTTGATATTCAGATAATTAGCAACAGTGTTCCTGTTTGTCTCCTTTAAAGGTTATCAACAGTAACTTCTGGGCCAGCCCCGTGGCTTAGCGGTTAAGTGCGCGCGCTCCGCTACTGGCGGCCGGGTTCAGATCCGGGCGCGCACCAACGCACCGCTTCTCCGGCCATGCTGAGGCAGAGTCCCACATACAGCAACTAGAAGGATGTGCAGCTATGACATACAACTATCTACTGGGGCTTATGGGGAAAAAAAAAGGAGGAGGATTGGCAATAGATGTTAGCTCAGAGCCGGTCTTCCTCACAAAAAATAAATAAATAAATAAAAGATTTAAAATAAATAAATAAATAAAAGCAAGATGTCCGTACCCACATAAATTTGCAGCAGATACGTTTTCTGAGCTCAAACGGCAGTTCCAGGAGAGTTTATTAGACATCACTGCGAGTGGAAAGGACAGTTCCATATTTCAAAATCCATTTAACTTTGTGACTGAGGCTCTTCCACATTATCTTCGTTAGAAGTGATTGATCTGCAATGTGGCGACATACTAAAAGGCAAATATCAGGAGAAGAATCTAATTATATAAATGCCTTCCAAGCAGTGAATATGCTCAATTAAAATCATATGCTTGCAGGTTAATATATCAGTATTTGGCAGTACCTCTCTGTATGAAAAGACATTTTCAAAGAAGCAATATGTAATATCTCATTACACATCAGCATTAACAGATGAACCTTTGCAATCACTTTAGATGATGGGAAACACTCATTTTGAACCCCAATTAAGTGACATGTTATTTCCAAAATAAAAAAAGGAATTCTAGGGCCGGCCCCGGTGGCCTGGTGGTTAAGTTCGGCGAGCTCCACTTCATGTTCAGTTCCTGGGCTCGGACCTACACCACTCGTCTGTCAGTGGCCGTGCTGTCGCTGCGGTTCACACACAAAAAGAGGAAGATTGGCAACAAATGTTAACTCAGGGCAAATCTTCCTCAGCCAAAAAAAAGGAGAGAATTCCATTTTCTCATTAGTTAGACCCATATTACAAAAAATTTATACTCAGTTATTATTATGATTATATTTTGAATTTTGTCAATAAAAATGTTGTGGAAATTTATTTTCTTTCTTGTTATGTAAGTTCCTACATAAGGTCCT